GTGTGCTGAGCTCTCCAAAAGTTTCCTTACAAAAATTGATGTTCGGCGGGATGTCCATTCTCTCCACTCTTGGTCAACTCCGTCGTTTATAAAAAATAATGCGGTAAACGCTGGAAGGACTTCAAAATTCCGGTGTTCAAATTGTCACTGATGAAAACCCTGACAATCTAGAGTACTCAGATATCACCCTCATTTCTGGAGAATCAAACTATTGAATAAACCGACCGCCATCATACCATCTTTCGACATGCAAAGTGCAAAGTCATACTTTGTAACATGCAGTCTCTTAACCCTTACAGTTCAAGTAGAACCGCTGGAGGTTTTGCAGAATTATACATAACCCGTGGTTGTACTAGCTCAGATGGAAGTAGGTCTGATGAAGTCGACGCAAGAATCTGAAAGGTTAGAATCACGTTTGGTGGCTTATGTCGCTTGTGACATCAGAAGGGTATATCGTTTCGTCGTGAGGGTCCTGTGTACCAGGTTATGGTGAGGGTTGTGTTGTATGGTTGGAAACATGGCCTCTGAGGACAGATAATGTGAGGCGTCTCCAGGTTTCTGACCACCGATGCCTCAGAAGCTTTGCTGGTTTTGGATTGCGGCAACGGATTAGGAACGGGGTGATATTTTGTTGTGCATCAGGTACTTATATCGCGAAAAACATCCAGCACCATCAACTGCGGTTACTCGGCCATGTGCCACGCATGCCGAAACACGGAGTGTCTCTCCGTGCCCCTTTCAGAATAGCGCAAACTGCGACGCGGACAACGTATGACTTGGCGGAAGGGTATGAAAGAGATTACGAAGAGTTTAGATATTAATGCAGAACGTCTTCAAGAATGGGGTCCCCGTGACTCCCTCTGCGCTTGGCTGGAGACATTTCAAGAAATGGCAACTGACCAACGCCAGTGCCGTTCGTGTTATCAGTTTCTTCCCAGATTGTCCGAGCGCTTAGAGGTATGGACACCTCAGAATGCTTGACATAAGCCAATACTAGGTCCCCTCCGTCATCTGTTCTTTTTTCATTCTAAGGCTTCAAATATAATTAGATAGAGTTTATTGTTTTACGGCAGTTAAGTACTAGTGTCGGCACTGATGTTGCTGTCTCTGTTGATGATGACAGTGATGCTTCTCTGCCGTACAACCATGACTTATTTAAAAGGCTTATTGTGAAGAAGAGGATGAGAGTGCTAACGTACTACGATCGTTTCGAGGTACCTACGCCTTCAGACACATTCAGGCTATTTGGATAGAAACTGACGACAAGAATGCCGTTGATACCGATGAGTATCCATACCTTGCAGTGTCTCCAATCTGGCGCAGTGAGGATAACGCGGTCCCCAACCTGGAAGGCGAGCAGCTCCGACAGTATTCAAACGTTTCGTTATCCCTTTCATGCCTATGAACCTAGCCAAGGATCGTCCACCTCTCTGATTCTGAATGGGGCGTGCAAAACAGCACCTTCTTTGGCATACGCAATACATGTCCTAATCAACAAATCTGGTGCTGGAAATACTCTTCACTGGAAGTCCCAGTCGCACAACCGAATACTTGCTATCCATTGTCTGGTTACGGATTCGCTGGTACCAAACCACAAGAGCTATATTTTTGAGACAATGGCCGTCGAACGCCTGAAGACGTCTTAGTTCTGCTTCTCGGACAAGCCAAGTCTCACAGCTATACAACAAAACAGCCGGCACTGTAGCTTGAGAATCATCATCATCGACAGCATGACATCAGTGTTCGACACTGATGCTTCACTGCCGTAGCTTGAGACTCAGGGATACACTACTTTGACGCCACAGGTGTTCCAAATCAGCAGACGCTAACCGGGCTTTGGAGGTTCGTGCATTGGCTCCATGTGTTACAATATATTCAGAATCAATACAGCTTCCAAGATGCGTAAAACCCTTTACAACTTCCAGTGCCTCTCCCTGGATTGTAAGTGGCGTGTTCAGTGACTGCACTTCCAGAAGCATGCTTTGTGGGTGTAAAGTGCATGCAAAAAGGACGGGATGACTTTGGCCAGTTCATCCGAAAACACCTGCGCCTTCTCTTCGAAGACAAAAACAATGTAGTGTGCATATCCCAGCTCTAGGGGTTTTTCTACACCGGCTGTTTGAACGCCAGTGTTTCTGAGATCTTCCAGCGTACTTCTCCTGGTTACATCGATCAGTGAGTTAAACAGAAATGGAGAGATTGGACATCGCTGAGGGACACCACTGTGTGTACAGAAGCTTTCGAATAGCTCTCCGTATACTCCCTTACGCCCGGAAATCCGAGAATGCAAATAGCTCATTACGCTCACGAACTTCCGGGGTATTCCTTGGTGGGCAAGTGTGTCAAAAAGAATAGGCCGGTCAGCCGGGTCTAATGCACCTTGTAAGTCCAAAAAACTGGAATTGTGGGTCGCTTTCACACATGGCGTTGTTCTAGTACCTGACGGAGTGTGAATATTTGGTCAATGCAACCCCTACCGGGCCGGAATCCCGCTTGCTGCTCTCAGGTCAGTGTTTCGCGAGCCACCATAAGGCGATGAAGCATCAATGAAGCCAACAGCCTCGTTGCGACCGGGGTCAAGCTGATCCCCCTGTGGTCACCACACTCGTTACGAGCCCCATTTCTGAAAATTGACACTGTCACTGACTCTCTTCACTGTGACAGTGTCCTTTTCCAAGATGCAAGCCAGTAGATTAGACTGGCACTGACTGAAGACTTCATCCCCATCTTTGAACAATGCGGGTTGGAGGTCATTCATACCGGAAGCTCGATGGCACAATAATGAACGTACTAGGCCGTAGAGGGTTCCAGTTTCATTTTCCAAGGTTTTACATCAGCTGAGTGACAGCTGATGGCCACGGTAACTGTTATTCGAAGTATTCGGCGAGGCGTTCTTTTTTATTCAAGACGGTCGCTCTGTTGTTATCATTGTTGGTTTCGCTCAGAAGGTTTCCGGGGATCGGTCTCGCGAAGCTACTGAAATAATCTTCGGGCGTTCCCGGCCGTCTGGGACCATTCCGTTTCCTTGGCTTTCCGTGTCCACAAGAACTCACGGTCGGCTCGCACGCTTGTCAGCACTGATGTCTTTGATGATGATGCACGCTCACTTCCACTTGACGTCCAATAATTTGTCGGCCCAAGTTATGTTCGGGACCGGATGGGATGCTTCACCGAGATTTGAGCAATGCCACTGTTCGGTATGATATCCAATGTTTGGGTGATCCCGGCAGCACTGTGCCACAAGCAAAACTTCCAGCGCTATAAAACAAATCTTTCAGTTGTGACACCCTTCCGGTGCCTAGCTGCCATGCCGCCCGAGGAAAGCACGAGGCTCGGATACTGGTGAGTTCGTCTAACATCCGGATCTGCCAATCTCTCAGTTGCCAAGCGATTTTTCCGCAGCTTGCGCGGCCCTAGAAAACGTAGGGGGAAGTGACTTCGGAAGAGCACGTGGTCGGAATTCACAAATGTGTTCCAAAACGAACGCCGTCATTGATCCGTGCAATCGGTAACTTATGACTGTGATCAACCTGAGTTCTTAGCTGGCACGTCGTTCGAGCATGCCATGTGACCAGGTGATTTCGGTTATTTCGGAAGTTATACTGTATGAAATCAGTCTGCAGTCAGGTCACAGCGGAAGCGATCGTTCCTCATTGTCCGTACGTACCGAGTCCAATCCATGTCGATCACCTACTTGATTCTCGAATGCGCTATGCCTGTCCGCTTGTGCATTCGGATCTTCGGCAACCACAACGATACCTGAACTTTTAGCCTTCCGCAGCAGGGCATTCAGGGTGTAAGCAGACACGACAAACAGACATCGATCAACTAACTCCCTGTTAGACTCTTTCACGTACTTTGCCAGACGAACAGCACAAAGGTGACCATCAACGAGTATCCAGTCAAGCAAAGATCCTTCCACCCTGTGCTTTAGGACGATAACGACCCCTGCACATCATGCCGCAGCAACCTCTGGATCGCCAGAGGTGCGCAGCCAGAAGCGAGTGGAGAGTAACAGGACAGTTAGCTCAATCACCGTGCTTGCATCTTAAATTCTTATTTCTGATACACACCACACATCAAAGTCATGCGATTCCAGTTGAGAGCAAGAGCAGCTTTCTGTCCCGCTTGCTTCAGAGTGCGGATATTGAAGGTGGCCAGATAGACTGGACGTCGAGGCTTGAAGATTCATTTCGAGATTCCTGAGGATGTCGGTGCCGGATGACGCACAGACGTTTGCAAAACCGACACATGACGAACGGAGTCAACAGTCCAAACTGAGGGGTCTACAAGGGGAAAGCTATAAATGGGATAGGGAGTTGGGGAAGAAAATGTATGTGAAAAAGAAAGAATGGGGGCATCAGCAAGCAAGGCGATCTACACGACGGCCGATGTGCCTGAGTTCATTCGTATGTGTGCAACTTTGTGATTGTACTTGGGTCGGGATACTGCCAGGGAGCGCTGACCTAGACAAGTGGACGATTGGGGTGCAAAGCGTTTGGCTGAAAAACCTGACCTAAAGGCAGTGGTGTTTGGTGAGGAATGCAACTATATTTTAATTTTTACGGGAAAAGTCGCCACTCATGTTCCAACCCGCAACCTGGAGGACCAGGAGACTGTGTTGGTCAGACCTCTAACCATTGACCAGCGTGGTATGAGAGACTGTGAGCGTCCGACGGACAACCCCCATTATAGCTCAATGGGTAGCTGAGGTACATAAATCACCACTCTAAGGTGCAGTCTCCCTTGAACGGAACTCAGATAGTCTCAAACCCGCGAACTTCCGGGCAGTGGTTGAACACTTAGGCATCTGACCACGAGTGACTCACTCTGTCGATGCTTCTTGCCGACCGGAGCAACCGTGACGAATCTCGATAGAGGACTCAGGGCCGTCTTCTGTCGAACCGCACAAACAATTAGTTTACCATGTCAATATTTATTGATCTTAATTGGGCCAGTTAAGATAGCTCAGTGGTTAGAGCGTAAATTAACTGACCGGAATGTCCGTGGTTCCAACCCGACCTCAGCCTCTCGACTTCCCCTGTCTAGGCTTGGGCAACCTGGCAGTATCCGAGCCGTCGTGCTTCCAATATAGTCATTCGGGTTGCATGGCAGCTAGGCACCGAAAGTATGTTACAGCTGAACGATTATCTGATTATTACTACTGGGCCAGTTCTGAGGTTAAGCATGATTTCCGCTCCGTAGATGCGAGGAGCCAGCTCATCAGGACCACTATAGACCTGAAGATTAAAGGGTTCTTCCCGAGTGGTATAACCGGGGTATTGCATGCATGTTTTGGAGATAGAACATCAATCCAAAGAGGAAACAAGGTGTGGGAAAGATATCTCTGTCGACTGATTTGACGCAGCGTACAGACGCTGAAAACAGGAATGCAAAATAAATCCCTTGAATTTGATACTTAGTTTTTACATGTTTAGATGCGGAACAATTATCAGGCGGTTGACACTTAAATGAATCAGAAAGACCTGAATAAGGGAAATGTGCGGAGAGATTGGTGAGTAAAAGGCCGTTAGGGCGAACGGTACTTTCCAGTGCCCAGGCTGAAGAGGGAAGTTTGGTTGAGGTAGTGTGAGTTTTCTAGTTTTCTAGCCCATGCTCCCTCAGAAGAAGACAGCATCGCCGTTTTCATAAATAATAAGAGGAAACACTCTACTGCCTTCTTATTATCATCGCAGAGGACATTAACATGTTAGTCGTTCATGTGTGACGCACTTCCAATTCCTATCTGGGATGCTACCCGAAGTAATCGTGAGGGTCGAGATATTGCTAGGCTACTCAAGCCAGGCAGAAGTTGAGAAGCAGATACGCGACTGTCTGACCTATACCTTTTACTTGCGAAACCTCATCACCGAAGCCGATTCGTTTTCCTGTGCGTGGCAGACATCGTAAAGGAAAAAAGTTTGCATGTGGCTTTTTCACCTTGGTTGTCTTTCAAAGAAATCCAGTTCATCCTAAAAGTGTACACATATACTCCACTGAATTAGGACGGCGATTATCATCTCTTACAGTATAAACTGTTCTGTTGTCTTCATTCCCAGTGCAATGTTAACTTGGCAGTTGACATTTAGGCATTGACACGCCCGACATTGGGTCCAACCTGTGGGCGATGCGCTTTTTTCGTGTTCTTCTCATTTGTAGTTTAGCCTCCGTCCACGCAGTTTACCTTTCAAAAGTCCATATACACCTTCGCTCATGTTGGGCAACAACAATTAAAAAGGATCTTGGCTAGAATGTGCCATCTAAGTGGTCGTAATTTGGTCCTCGTATTTGTACGTAATTAATTCGCACACCCGATTCTCTCTTTACAGGCCATTTTATTCTGGAAATTAGACGTTCTCCTAGAAATGAGCTGATGAACCCACATTGGTTGTCGCTCTCCAAAATTCCAAGGATTTTCTGTGCTCGGCAGCATAACTACATTTCGTCAACCATGACAGATAAAATAATTTCTCTTTCCGAAGGTGGGTTTTTCCCCCTTTTTGCTACTGCCTTAATCCATGTCGTCTTAGATGGGCTACCGAAACCTAGGTAATAAATTTGCACTGATATCCGTGTACTAAAGTTAAAGTTTTTTGAGGATTTCGCGCATTTTTCCCACGTAGGTAACTCCCGAAAAATCACTGTCCAATAGTTTGTCTGAAATAATACCTTTCTCATATTGCTCTCTGAAGAGAGGACACCCCCATGGAAAGTCCATGACGGCGTTTGTTGGTCACGATCTTTTATGCATATTCCCTTGAGAAACTAGACACCCTCTGTGTTTATACTGGGGTGCTACATTAAAAGGTTTCAGTATCAACTTTAAGTCAAGACATCAGATTCTGATGGTTTCCAACAGAGGTAGTTAGTTTATAGACACTTCAACATATGACCTTTATATCCATATATATCTCATTGGTTGTTCTACACCAGCGGAGATGTACTGTCATCGTATTGTGGTCTTACTAAAGCTCATTAGCAATGCACTGGGATTCAAACCCTGGATCTCTAGTAAGTGATGCGGATTTGTCACCGTCACTTCACTAGCGCATATTGGATGAACCTGATTGATCTCACTGAGACAAACGAATACGATCGTGTTTTTGGGCCATGTGAATGGTTTGCTAGATGCCTCAAACGATGCGCTACGTCCGACGGAGGACTCTTTATACGAAGCAAATTCACAAAACGCCTCGAAACTAGTTGTACATCTGGTCTAACCCTATACGATTATACGTGATTGTACCACCCGACTTTCAAGACAGCCATTGAACATATTGCATGTTTAGTTCAACCATGGCGTACTGTCGAAGATGCAATAACTGTGGTGCTTGCCTCACACCGTTGTAAAAGTGCATGTCACAAGAATACGCATAGCACATGTCGCTGACATGCCAGTACACTTGTAACTCAGGGGTCTCCAAACTGCGGTACGCAAGTTCGTTTCGTCCTACCTGCTGCTATCCACCGATCGTTTCTTAAACGCCTCTAAGACAATCACTTTCGATCAGCTTCATGCTTTTGCAATCAATCGGAGAGTGATGTGTATTTCAAAAGAGACTATCGCTGATGCATTGAAGCATCGGTGTTGAACACTGATGTCATGTTGTCGATGATAATGATAATGATGATGATGATGATGATGATGATCACTGATGCACTATCGGTCGATTAGTGTGAGAGCTTACTTGTCTGGCCATTAATTAGACACACTAGGCTGGACCCAAGTTCCATCATCGATGGCCTTGGCTGATTTCCTTGACTTTCATCCACCAGTTTCTCCTGTTGAAGCTCTTAGGCACTTATTTGACAACCGATAACTACTCTAAGTTGGACTGTTCTTCAAGACCTTTTTCTGATAAAACTCGTCTCGAATCAAGATTTGTATAATGGGGAACACTCAGATCTTATGTGGCCTCACATGTGTGGGCGGCGTGTGAGACTGGTTGCATGGAAGATGCGAAGGATGGCTGGACAAACCACTGGGTGTTGCTAAGGTAAATAGAATCCCAAACATAAGGAATTATATCCAACATGATTAAGAATCTCATGCCTTCCCGAAATCCGAACTTAAGCAAACTTAAGTTTTGCTGGTGTGTATCGATAAGGTGACTGGATTAGTGAACGGCCATGCTTCGTCAGGGTTTATCTGGTCTCCCACAATATCGTTTAATTTCTATGAGCTGTTGCTTAACAGACCCTAGTGATACACTTCTGGTAACTTGCTTTGCCCGCCCTATCAGTGAGACTCCATAGAAAGCCTACTGTCCACAGAAAACTTTTGCGTTTGGCTAGCTAACATACTATTTCGCAGTATGATCATGTTCACTTATTTCAAAGTATCTTTTCCGCGCAAAACAGCAGCAATGAGTAAACCGCACAGAAGTCGGTTTTCCTATACATTCAGGTGTCATCCGTTCCTGATTCCAGTGTGATGAGCCACTCTGGATGGTAATGTTCAGCGACACAATACTGAGTTTTAGCTGCGTTAATGGTCCTGTCTCACAACATTTATCCAGTACTGGTCTCTTTTTCGCATATTTCTTATAAATTTGACGATTGTCATAATCCTGATGTTGGTTTATCACCGAACTGGTTACTCCCTTAACCACAGAAAGCGTCAGTACCCTCGCGATTGATAGCCACACTCCAGTGTTATATACCTGTTATTAACTGTCGTAAACCATAAGGGAGAGTGTCCAAGTAAAGAGTACTTGGAAATAGAAAACAGCCTTAACTCTTCTTGTCTGGAACACGTTCTTTTCCCCAAGTGAGTTCAAACTGTCTGGTTAGGATCAAACACCGTCTTTAATCCCTTTTGACCTGGTGGGGCGTGATGAGCGGGTCGAATAAAAGATAGGCAGGAGCCGGTTACCGATTGCTGCGTGTCCTACCCAGAGATTTAGGCGCTGGTTTTTGTTATTGGTATATTAGATTTTCCAATATTAAATTTGGTAACCTTACCAATAGACGGTCTCCTGGGATCCTCTTTTTCGAAGTATTTGGAACTGTCCCCGTGCTTTTCCCGCTGCACTGTCCTTAAGCCCTCTGATTTCACTACACCCGCCTATCCAAAACAAATGCTGTCGTTTCGCCGATTACGGCTTTCCACTGCTAGCCAGTGTATTAATGGGGATCAAGGCTTTAGATGCTCTGTTCCTACCGATAGTGTTTTTTTCACTTTTCAGGCCTAATTCTCATGAGTTATGTGCACTTGTACTCATGGCTTCATTTCACTCAGACTTTTACACCACTAATAGGCTAGGCAAGATAGCGCTGTCTTACTGATGCTTTCGACTAACTAACCGACGTACTGCATCGTCACTACAATCACTAGTCTCTGGGGCTATTGCGCATTAGCCAGTCCTTTTCGGTCTGTTTTCTTGTGGGGAAGTATTATGTAAATTGTTTTCTTTTTTGCGTCATCCAAGCTGCCGCTCAGCTCCCACAAATTGTCCAGCTTCTCCGATCCGGTGCAGTGGTCGCCGTGCCAACAGACACCATCTACGGTGTTTCTTGTTCCGTACATTGTGAGCAAGCTATAAAACGGATCCACCAGCTCAAAGGTCGCCCAATGAATAAACCGATGGCGATCTGTCTGGACGAGGTGTGTTGCTTTGTATTTCTTAGCAAGAGTTGCTCTTGCACACAATCACTTACATGCTCATAAACTACTGCAATCCAGTGGTGAAAAAGTGCCTACCTTCCTATTTCCTGTGACTGTCTTCCTTACTGCACAATATACGTGGGTAATGTCGCCGTCGTGATCATAGAATGCTCTCTAACTGACTTGTTTTTTTAGGTTGATTCTATACCGTACTGGTGTGATACGACTGGTTTGCCACAAGGACTTCTTAACTCACTCCTTCCCGGTCCGGTGACTTTGCTACTCCCGAAACATTCATGCGATCCTCTAAATGCACACCTCAATCCCGATGCCCACCTCGTTGGTGTACGAGTTACAGATCATGGCTTTGTACGGGATCTATGTGCCACCATGGGACGATTGGAAACCAACGGATTCCGTTCCGTTGGTCATCCTTTGGTCCTCACTTCGGCCAACCTAAGTGGCAATGCGTCCGCTTTGAGAATTGAGGTAAGCTGAACACTTTTTCCCTCAGAACTCCATTTATCCTTGCCCACAAGACACGGATAAAGCTTAACATAAGGCAGTCCATTGGCTTCTGATCTGCAGTGGAAATGACGAAGGCCTAAGAAAGTACAGGGCGTGCTTGAACACATTTAGTTTGTGCCAACCGCAGCGAAGGTAGGACCATTCCAATTAGTCTCCCAACCTTTTAATTGAGCACCGGCAAGCTCCTTCCTGGATGGTGTACAGACTACGTGGGGTGCATTACAGTTCTGGTGTCTCTTGTCGCTACCTTTTGTGAAGGCCTCTCAACCGGATTGATTAATCATCCGCTTCTGAACCTTAGCAGCTTGGAATTGTGCCAATTACTGTTTGGGTTGTCTGACCTTCTACAGCTCAAAAATCTGGAGATGTCGAGCAGTCTGACTATCCATGGTTATCCGGGTGTTTGAACTTGCCAGTTCCCGTCACATTATGGATGTTGTAGTCCAGTTGTCACAGATAGGTCAGTTAATAGACAGATTGGAATACCGGGATATGTCCCATCCTTTCTGTTCTCACTCGACGATTTTTCCCTGAAGATTCAGTGCCTGATTAAGCATCATCTTGCGAAGGTACTACTATGGGTAAAAGTAGCTGAAAAGCTATGATGGTCCTGAGTCAGTGCTGTCCTCTGTAAAACTCTCAAACGCCACCATTGAGTAGTGTCACTGACTGTCCTAACAAGATGTTATGTTGTCATAAGAAATTAAGGTTGACTCTTTTAAAATCTTAGCAACCAATTATTTTTCATAGCATTCCCCTGTCTTGAATTGTCAGTCAGCTTATTTCCCGACTCTATGTTGCATAGAAGAAGGCGTCAGTAGTGTGACTCATTGGTCCATCATTTCATGAAGGATGTGAAAATCAGAGTTCTGTTTGCAGTCAATTACCACTCGTAATGCTTTTTTTGCCTCCACTCTTGCTACGCACCAAGGAGTTTTCAACAATTTGGCCGGAACTAGACCTCATCGTTGACGGAGGTCCCATCAGCACTTGTGCAAAAGAATCGGCTCGTTCTGGGTCTACTATCGTTGATCTGTCCAGTGCATCGAAAGGTCTTTATCATATCGTTCGACCAGGCAGGTAATCATACTCACTTCAGCAGCCTAACAAACTTTCAACTTACCTACCTTTGTTCTTTATCTGTAGCTCCCTTCTCCAGATGCATTGATCAATTCCAACGGGTTTCTCATCATTTCCTGGTGTGGACTTTTTCCAATCCCATGTCAGGGTAACAAAACCTTAGTCTCGTATCCTTGGAGTTTCGCACATAGTACGGTTACACTGACTTATTCAGTCAGCTAATTTTTACATGAGTTTGTTCCGTGCAGCTTGATCACGGGGGTTCATGAAAAATTGGCGTAAGTGAACTCTGCAACGCCGCTTCACCTCTGTTCCGCTACGCATCATTCGCTGGCAAATTTAAGCCGAGAAACGAAGCACTGGACACGTGATTCCAAAGTTCACTTCCTCATCTTTTGGCTTTGGCTGGGGCATATCGAGCAGAGACGATTATTATAGACATTACCGCAGTTCAAAACTTCAAACTTCCTTCATCCTGCTTCAGAAGAAGGAGGGGGGTGGATCGTTGTCCGCAGCCCAAGCCCTCCACAAGCTTGTATCCTTAATGGAATGGAACGATGGGGTCGAATGCATGATTGCCTTATAATGGATTGTTTCAATGCCCCGAGTATTGGATAGAACTAAATCTTTCCAACTTTGTTTGTTGTCAGATTTTTCACTAAACTTCTCTGAATATTTCCTGTAAATGAGGCCTGTCCAAAGAACTCTGTGGAACTCGCTCTGACGCTCTGTAGATAGGACCGTGTCACCTCATCTTGGTGTTAACGAGGCCTGGTGGTTCTTTCACAAGAAGCCACTCCTTAATCGCCTCGTTCCAGGAACTTGGGAGTACCCGTTTCCAAAGAATCCTCCAGGTTGACTCAGAACCGAGACCTTATTCTCACAGGACAGAAATTTGGAGAATAGGTCTGGATTTACAGTTACATGTTGTGCCGGAACAAGTGTGTACATCTCAGAAGTTACAGCAGAGAGGCCTATTGGCGTCTCTTTCTAGAATCACTCAAACCAATAACCTTTCCCATATTTAATTCGAATGTGTAGGCTGGGATTCCACCAGTAATCCTGGGAACAAATAGAAATTGGCTGAGGGTTGCTTGTCGAGTGTTTGGGAACGTGCAGCCTTATACAGATTAGTGTACACTTATGACTTCCTTCCGATCCGCATCGTTTATTCCACTAATCCGACCAGTTTACGTCCTTGAGGATGTCTTAGGTTCTGACTACGAATTACATCCTATTCCCTCCTTCATTGGTGCCATCATGGTAGGCCAGCATCAGGTCCCTCATCTATCCAGCCTCTTCCCTTTGGGGATGTGAATATAATCTAACAGACTTTTTGGTTGTGCGACAGTGAAGTATGTGTCAAGATTAATATTGCTGTCTCTCATGGGGATGAAATCATCTCTCCGATCAACCTGAGAACGAGGTGGCTCAGTGGTTAGACCGCGAATTTACTAACCGGAAGGTTCGTGGTTCGAACCTGACCTCTGCCTCTCGACTCCCCCTGTCTAGACTTGGGCAACCTGACAGTATTCCTTTTAGTGGCATGGCGGCTAGGCACTGAGAGGGTACTACAGCTAAACGAGCCTGAGAGCTTGTATCTCCCTTAGCGAACGCGAGCAGGTAAAACAGTGTGTAGAGCAGCTGAATGCCGCGATTCGGAAAACTTCTGTCTTGTGTGCTATCCTCGATAGACTTCAAAAAACTACAGCACTACCTCCATTGTGTGTGCCTTGCATCCCGGATGCAGCATGATTTCCATGAGTTCGGGAAAAATGGGGCGGTTGCATTGAGAGAGTGATCGTTTGAATGTCGTCTAGCAATATAGTTGATAGAGTTCCTCGTCCTTCTCTCTGTTGCTGCCCATCTATCTGCCATCACTCCCTAGGTCAGTGCAGACACCAGCAAAAGTAGTTCCTCTACGTTTTTATGTTTGGATGTCGCGCTTGTTACTCCAACCGTCTTTTTTTGCTGGTGGCATCAGATTTGTTCAGACTGGCTCTGTCGGTCTAGGCAAGCATTCATTCTGGTTCCTAAATCTAAACTGGCATCAGAAAGTAAACTATTCGTGCTGGACTGGATGTCAATGTGCACCTTGGGCTAACATTCATATGGCACGCGTGTTCAGGATCGTGTTCTCACCTTTGCTTGGTAAAGATGGGTCTCCAGCTTATTGATTACTTTGCTTACTGTCATACCAGAACACAGGCTAAGGGTATAAAATCACCAATGGAGTCTTATTTTGAGATGTCGATATTTGATATTTCTGTATGGGTCTAAGAATCAGCACAGGATCAGGCGCAACGTTGAACTCAGGTCCTTCGAACAAACACTCGGATTCTGAGTATTATTATTGCTTCACGAAATTTCTATGTTCGAGACCGACGATTTGTGATCATTTAAATGGGGGATATGTCATCAGTATCACATGGCCAGATTGAAGTGTCTGACGATCGGGAAGGTGGATTGCGATCCGCTACAAGAACCTCGATCCGGTCTGTCATGCCCATCGTGCATAAGACATATTCAGGCACATGTCTCTTTGCTCGCGCCTTCAAGGGTGCCTCCCAGTTCTCTCAGTATGATCATCACCGTAACTGCAGGTGAATGGATAAATACAATCTGATGTTGAGACCACTCCTGGAGGTGTTTTGATCGACATCAACAGTGTGTTCAGTTTTAGTCTGCCTGATCAATACAGATCAACACTGGAATCGCTTTGCATATTTGTTCATCAGCCTAAAAGCAGCAACATCCAGGAATTTAGACACTGTATCCATATTTTGAAGGCTCTTCTTTGTTGCTAGATATATTGTGTGCAGATCCTACGTGGCTGTAACACTGATTCCTCACCACTGTTTTTGACCTGTTTGGCGTCTACTTACTGAATGGAACCCTAGAAACTCTCCCGATAGTTGGACATCTGTGTTCATCTTGTTCGCTTGCACCAGTTGTGTTTCACGTATCACTATCATTATTTGATTGTAGGTATAATGATGCACTGGTGCTTCGTTGTATGGCAACTGCAGTTGACTGCTACTGAGCAGGATGAACCTTACTTGACGTATTCATCATTTGCTGTTACCGCTGTAGACAGGCTGACCAGATTGTTGTTCTGTAACCCAGCTCATTTGGTTCAATTTGTCATTGGATTATCTCGAAATAATCGTACATAAATGGTTCGCAGTGTGAACCCTTAGTCCTGCATTGATTGCTTTCCGTTTCTGTACACAGCGCGTTCAATTCCACAGTCCAAATACTGGAGAACGGTTATGGCCTGCGCCCTTACAATGATGCCTGATGCATTTTTGTCATGCCAAGTGAGTATGTACTGACATTCTGCATTCTGCTCCTTGCAAACTTGTGTTGAGGCAGCTTGGGCTAATTTGACTTGCAGACTACTGATTACATTTGGGTCTTGTATTTATCTCGCACTTGATAACCGACTGTTTTTGTTTGGGTTTCAGGTTCAGCTGCTAATCGGCGTTCGCTCCTATTTTCTCCTCCCCGTTCTCTACTGATTCTTTTCTACTTTGATCATGTGGTTATCGAATAGATTCTTCCTGTTGGTGTTCCAACCAGTTTTCTTATTTTTAATGGTAGTGTGTGGAGATCTGGTCGTTTTCAATTGAGATTTCGTCCTGTAAGTGGAGCCAGTCTGTACTGAAAGGCTGAAAAGCAGTGTACAGTTGTTTCATCCTTACTGCTAATTATCAGCAGTGCGCATCTCATGGAACTCCAGAGAGTTTCGAACTGGCAACCTCCTGGCTAGTAGTTTGAACTGCAACACTAGATGAGGACAATGGTGTTCACATTGACTATGAACTAATATCCAATTGGAATGTCCCTTCTTTTAGTCTATTCTTCAGCTGGTTATCAGACACCTTAAAGCCCATAAATCAAACCTATATAAACGGTATAGAGTTTAATGGATTCTGTCTAACTGATTCCTGGAGGGTATGTGATTTTGAGACAGTTGAGGAACTCATGTGCACTGAATCGAGTCGAGTTTCTATGGCTTTTAGCAACCCTTTCCGACTGCGTCAGGCTGTTCTTAGGCGCGTTTCATCTGTTTTAGCCCTACGTGGGATTCTGTTTGTGTCACGCTGGAGTAAGCGACAGCAACTGCTGACCCAGTGTGTTTTGTCAATCGAATACATTAAGGCCGAACTTCTGTGTGCATGCGTCATTCCTTTGTAAATCGCACTGAACGCGAAGCGATTTTTAGCGAGCCTTACTGGGTTTGAATCTTGGAACTAAACAACATACTGTACCAGTCCTGCATCGTCCGCTAGTATGGGCTTAAACAGCACTTCACAGAAGTTCGATCCAGGTAACACAAAACAGGTGACACCTGAGTCAGTGAGGCGAGCTGTCCACTGTGGAGGCACTTGTACTGACCGAATTTCTTTTGTTTTGTCGGCGGTCCGTACTCATCAAGAGCGAGGCACTTGGTTCTCTGCGTTCCACTGGTAACACAGTTTACAGTTAAGTAACACGAAGGTTGCACTCGTACACTATTATTAGCGTACCTTTTATCATTTCGCACTCTACCTTCGATAGAAGTGTCGAAAACCAGTGTATGATTAAGAGCTTCAGTTCATTGATATGCGTCATTTTGCTGGATATTTCGCCTTGCTTAGGGACCGACAATGAGGGAAGCCACGACAGCGTGATATTATTCTTCAACACTGATACTTCACTGCCGTACAACCATAATTTATTTAAAAGACTTGTTTTGAAGAGAAGAGTGAAAATGAATCGGGAAAGAACATCTTGCTAGCCTACCAAAATCATTCCGAGGTGCATATCCATCCGGACACTCATTGAAATTTTGGATAGAAACTGACGACATCGCCACTGACATCGATTAGCAACCATCTCTTGTATATTGCCTCCAACCGTAGATAGTGGGGATCCAGTCCTGGAACGCGGTTCGCACAGGCGGCACCAAGACTTGTTGCATTTGTTTTCATTTCTCTCTGCCAGGCCGAAAGCTGATCACCTCTGCTTGCGTCACTCCGAATTGGGCACCTTTAACAGCAATACAACGAAAGTGTCCTTACTGTAGCTTGATATACATGCCCAGTGAGATTCAGAGATATACGAATTCGCGCCATAGGTATTTCAACTTAGTAAAGGCGACCTTAGCCTCTTGCATTGACCTTATCTGCCACACGTCCGTCAGAACTAATACAAATTCCAAGGTACGTAAAACAAGTCACAACCTCTCCTCGGAGTTCACACCATCTATTCACTAACCCACCAATTTTTGACCGCTTCGTTCAGATTCTTGCATATTTCGGTTGATGTACCGTAGAATCATCCTCCTGAGTCCAAATGGCATTGATTGGACTCAATACAAATTCAAGGTACGTAAAACAAGTCACAACCTCTCCTCGGAGTTCACACCATCTATTCACTAACCCACCAATTTTTGACCGCTTCGTTCAGATTCTTGCATATTTCGGTTGATGTACCGTAGAATCATCCTCCTGAGTCCAAATGGCATTGATTGGACTCATCTCTTTCAGTTCTGGAGTTAGTTAATTTTTGTTGCAGTAGCTACTTGTGTGATAAGGTCACCAGGAGTGATATTTAGGTATTAGCTGTAATACCTCTTGGTGGCGTCATCCGAAAAGAGAATAAGGATCCCATAGTTTTGGTGGCAGGATACCTGCTCAGACGATTAACCTGGCGTATGTGTAACATATGAGTACGTGGCTTTCATCGGGCTCAAAATTCATTTGTGCAAGCCTAGTNTATATATATATATATATATATATATATATATATATATATAAACTGCGACTGCTTCAGTTTTGCTCTGCGACGCCCACATACCCATCGATCTCGTTACTTGTGCCTTACCAGCTTTCTACTGGACACAGTGAACGGAATTTCCGTACTTTCCTTATGCTCCCCAAGCCTACGTGCAGCGGTAATGCAATCCAGGTAACGTTCCTTATCACTGGACCGATAACCAGCAGGTCTTGCAACAACTAACATGCTCAAGCTAGCTGGCCTCGGTGATGGACTTTTGAGGATTTGCGCACCACACCGTGTTTCAACACAATTGCTGCTACTGTTACCGGGTTATATGTCATGGCTTGGATTTCCCGTTAGTGCACACACTGTGATGCTCAAGTTCCGCGTGCCGGCGTTTCCGTCTAAAAAAGATCAAATCCCCGAGGGGTCTGCAAGTCGACTACAAAAGATAACCTTATTTGCGCGAGCTCTTAACTACTTACAATCTCTAAGTAACGTTTTTGGCGTTAGTCGTACTGATCATTCTGGAGATAAGCTAGACATCTAACCGCTAGTTTCCCCCTCCAGCAAGGCTTGGTAACGCAGTTTAGTCTGTAGAACATAGTTCAACCAGTTCCCTTGTTAAGTATTCCCTGCTGACACTTAGGCCTCTCACTGCGATACCGGTGATAGTTACTCAGATCAGAGTGAAAGGACCAATTCAATGAACCCGCGACCCATTGAATCAGTACAACCTAATTATCCTCGTGCCCAAATTCCTCTGACGACCTGGTTAACAGCAGTGAAAAAGCGAGAACTGTCTTCCTCATTCACAACCGTTCCCCTGCTGACTTTTCACAGAATTAGGCACTCACTCAATAAATATCGTTTTGGAACATACCGTGGATGGGCAGTCATGAACAGAACGAGTATTGTCAATCATATCAGATAATGCGGTTTAGTTCAGTTATGGTGTCCTGAAGTCACCTACAATTGTTGCGCTGCTGACGAATCTCCTCAGCTTTGCAGCTGATAGCTACAGTCAGAAGAAACAATGCAAGAACCCTGTGTGCATGTTCTAGGGACCCTGGGGAGAGCAGGGCGTCTGGTTGACCGATGCGTCTTAGCACGAGAACAGTGTCTACAGATGGAATTGGGGGACGCTGGTTAGCGGAGAAAGAATTGAGAAGGTGAACACCAATCTAGTGCCACATCGTTCCAATCGCCAAAGTGAACCAGCTCCGAAGTAAGTAAACTCATCCCCTTCCCTTCTCTAAGCGCTTTTTAGGAGCATCCGAACTCTATTCCCCTCCGACCTGGTGTTGCTTCATATGTGGGACGTCTTTTCTTCCGCGCTGGCTGACCTCTTTTCGAAGAGAATTTAATGGCATTTTCAATATTTTGGGACAAACCTCTTGACATCAGGAATTTCCATGCCAGAAAACACTTCCTCTATCCCTGTACGGTTAACTTTTCAATGTCCCCACATCAGACTTCCGCATCAGCACCGATACTTCTAGAAAAAATTGCAGTGCAGTTAGGTGTAATGGCCTCTAGGGTGAGGCCAGTAAGCATGCTGATAAATTATTGCGAGTTGGGGTCAGTGCTGTACTTCTATGAAAGAAATTCTCATAAGTGGAATCATTTTACGTGTAATCCCGTCCCACATTTGTGCTAGCCTTTGCACGGAAATTACACTCTGACCGACAGTCTGGTTGTTGTTTTGACCTGGAACTGACACACACCTGATAGTGTTGTAACCGCAGCTTTTCAGTTCTCCAAACCATGTCTCTGTGATGGGCTACCTAAGTAAGCGATAACGATTGGTGCGCATCCATCAATGCATATTTTCATCACTGCAGATCAGAACATCAGCTTTACTGAGAAACGCATTTTGTCTTTCGTTGGTTTCCGTATCAAACCTTGAGAGGTCATTACAATAGCTATTTATTTTGCACCTCACACCCAGTAGGAGTGCTTTCGCTGCTACGAAATAGTTTTCTAGTGTTGCCAATTCTTTCACTGTGAACAGGTGATTTCCACTCCATAATTCTCTCATTTCGAAAATGCTTACTGAGGGATGGTGTTTGAGCTATCACTGTGTATCAGGGATAAAGAAAGTGACGGTTGTCGCCTCTCATATCAATCAGTTTGTTGGTGACAGGAATAAAGTACCACAAAATCCGACAGCTTTTTCTTCAAACTTCCATCAATTTTTGTTTATAGTACTCTATCTGTCTCTGTACAGCCGCACTGCCCGACACGATCGCATGATTAGTAACAAGTAATGGGATGAATACATCCATTTACACACGAATTAGGTTTTGACAGGAGACTCAACTGAATCCATTTGAAGGTCGCTTATGAAGGTCCGTCGAAGAGTTTTTAGTAGTGTACTACTCCTAAGGTTGCTGAAAATTCATCGACAGCCCACGACCGGTTTCGCCCTTCTTGGGGCTCATCAGGTAGGCGCAGTCATCCCATCACTTTGCTTCCTAGGCGTGACGCATTAATTATAGGGCCACTAAAAACTAGCGAATATACACTCATTTGCAAACTAATTTGGTTCTTTCGAGAGACTCACCTGGAACCCAGCTGAATCTCGAAAGAACCAAATTAGTTTGCAAATGAGTGTATATTCGCTAGTTTTTAGTGGCCCTATAATTAATGCGTCACGCCTAGGAAGCAAAGTGATGGGATGCTTTTCTCTGCATTCTAATTCTCTAATAAGGTCAAAATTGATTGGTACACTGGTAGTCCTTTCATCGCAGGACCACAACTCATCAAGAATGTCCGTTAGTCAATTTCATATATACAAAT